AGTCTTGCAGAGAAGTTTAAGCAAGATCCCAACAGCGCTCAATTTGGCAAGACAGTTGTGGTACACCTACTATCTCGTATCCAACACTCCCACTTTCCAAGAAACATACGTTCCTTAAGGTGTGCTTTAGCAAAGAGGTACTCAAATTGGGCATTGGTATTAATAATGTCAATCACCATATTTAATGTAGGAATCATCTGTTGTTTCCACAGTCGGGCTATGGCCAGTCTGGCTGCAATAAATGCATGTGTCACAAAGACACGAGAGGGAAGAGGCCCGGCAGTAAGACCCACTCCAGGCTGCAATAAATGCATGTGTCACAAAGACACGAGAGGGAAGAGGCCAGTCAGTAAGCCCCACTCCCAGCAAAGCCATTTGCGGGTTGGCCCTGCAAGGAATGAGAGTAACCGTTTGAACAAATTGAAAAACAGAGACCCAGTATTGTTGGAGCAAAGGGCACTGCCACCAAATATGAGGAAGTGTACCCCTCTGACCACACTGTCTCCAACAGAAGGAAGAGGTAGATGGGGAGATCTTGGCTAGTTTGTGCGGAGTATAGTACCATTTGTGGAGTATCTTTTGGACAGATTCCCAGTGCGACAGGCATCTTGAAGCCTTTAGGGGCCAAACTATGGTTTGATGCCACTTAGCCGATAAGGTAAATCCCAATTCATTTTCCCACCATTCCATGGCAGGAAATTTCGATTCCTCCACAGGGGTAACTAGCAATTTATAGAAAAATGAGATAACCTTCATTTGTAGAGTAGTTCAAGTGAAAAAGGAGATGGTTTGTCTGTGGAGATCAGTATCTCTCATCCGAGCTTAGGTCAGGAAATGTCTGACTCTGAGGTATTTATAAAAGTCTCTGGGTGGTATGTTATACTGCCGGCTTAAAGATTCAAAAGAGTCTAGAGTAGCACCAGAGAATAGTTGATTAAGTCGGGTAATACTCAAAGCACTCAAATGAGAGACACCCAGATCCTCCAGCACATGGTCCAATGTAGAGATAGGAATATTTTGAAGGGCATAACCATTAGGGAGTGGGGAAGTAGGGCCCAAAGAGGTCCATACTCTGTTAACAGCCGTGACTGTGTCTAGTTATGATTTCTCCTGAGAACGATTAAAGTGACATTAAACCCTCAGTTTTTTTAACATAAAACAATAGTGTAATGTGTGCCTTACTGTAATCCATGGTTGTTTCCCTTCTCTTTGCTGCTCTTCCTTTTAAATCCGTATCTGTTCTCATGCTCTGCAGAACTTCTGTTTTGCCGCAGACTGCCTTGTCTCTGGAATAGATACATGGTGTCTGTGTGTACGTTGCAACCTGAGACAGCACTACAGGAAGAGGCCCTGAGCTGAAAAGGGAAGTTCTCCCCAAGCATGAGAAGACATGACATTTGGGATTTGGTTTGATTTACTTTGTATAGAGAAATATCTCCAAATCGGATAAAAATACAGCAGGAAGGGAAGAAAGCGGATCGGTAAGGAAGATGATAGTTGGCGCCAAAGGTTCCATCACCAAGGCAAATATTAGAGGAGAGAGGGACAACCCTGTCTAGTGCCGTTACTTATATCAAAGGGAGCCGAAAGGAGTCCAGAAGTCAAGACTCTCGCACTAGGGGAGGTATAAAGAGCAGTAATAGCAGTCCCCAAAAAGCCTGAGATGGCAAATTTCTCCAAAACGGCTTTCAAATATCCCAATGCACCCGGTCAAATGCTTTTTCTGCATCTAAAGATAGAAGGAGGGAAGGCATTTTAGTATATTCAGCATATTGAGTCAGATTTATTAGTCTTTTAGTGCCATCCGGTGCTTGCCTTCCATGCACAAAACCAACGTGATCCGGAAAAACAAGGCTGGGAATAATACTTAGGAGTCTGTTAGCAATCAATTTAGCGTAAATTTTAAGGTCTGTGTTGAGAAGCGAGTTAGCCAGATTGTCTATAGGTTTATCAGGCTTATGAATAGTGACGATTATGGCTTCTAACGGTTCTTTGGGGAGGTGACTAGAGGAAGCCGCTTCATTAGCGAAATCGCTAGTCTTGTGTAAGGGTAGCGCCAAGATAGTTTTAGTGATTTCCCCAATAGAGAAGGGTTGCATTAGGGAGTCTGCGAATTGCGGGGGAAGTGAAGGGAGGGGCACCGAGTCAAGAAAGCTGGCAATATCCTCTGCAGTGGGCTTAGGAACAGCAGGGGAATCCTTCAAGTTATACAAGTTGGAGTAAAATGCGCTAAAGCTGTCAGCTATATCTAATGGATTTGAAAGGCGGTTTCTCAGAGAGTCTGAGAGAAAAGGTATTTCGTGTGATTAATGTTTGCGTTTAAATAGTCTAGCAATGTAGGCCACCGCCTTATTACCCTGACTATAGAGTGTCAGTTTAAGTTGTTTGATCATAAAGTCATATTGGGATGTAAGGTGGAGGCTGAGTTGGCGTCTAAGAGAGTGTAGGTCTTGCGCTAAGACAGTGGAGGGAGAACGTTTATTGACCCTCTCCAGAAGACAAATCTTGTCTAAAATGGAGGTCAATTCTGCAGTCCTTTACCTTTTCTCTCGGGCCCTTAGTTTTAGAAAAATGCCTCTGATAAAAGGCCTTATGGGCATTCCACACGGTAGCGTGACTAGGAACAGAGCCAACATTGGTTTGAAAAAAAGATCTCACCTCCGACTGGATGTAATCCCTATGGTTTTTTTTGGACAGCAATGCGTTGTTCAGTCTTCACTTATTGGGGATACACAGATTGGAGTCAGTAAATATACATATGGAGACAGGGGGGTGATCAGACCAACGTATCAGCCCGATCTCCGCTGTAGAGATACTTTGAAGAGTATATTTATCCACTAGGAAGGTATCCAGTCTAGAGTATGAGTTCTGCAAGTGTGAATAAAAGGAATAATCGCGTTCAGCTCCATGTAAACACCTCCATGCATCATATAGGTCATGCAAAGTCAAGAAAGAAGAGAGGGCGCGATCATGTCGTCTTAGTGCGTTAAAAGTGTCTAAGGTTGCATCAAGAATGGCATTATAGTCTCCGCAAATCACTAAGTGCCCCTGACGCACAGGAGTAATCGTCCGGAGGAGGGAATTGAGAAACTTTTTATGACCAGTGTTCGGTGCATATAGATTTACCAAGGTCATTAAATGATTATTTAGCGTCACCACCAGAACAATGTACCTACCCTCCTGATCTATGATTAATTAATGTTGCTGAAAAGCAATTGTACACTTTACCGCAATCATCACACCCTTCCTCTTCTTCTCAGCATTTGCAAAGAAGTAGTGGGAGAAATCTCTGTGTTTACAAGTTGGAGGTTTATCTTAATGAAAATTAGTCTCCTGGACACAGAGAACATCACAATGGAGGGAGGCAGCTTCCATAGCATATTGCTCTTGTGTGGACTATTAAGTCCTTTAGCATTCATTGAGCTAATCTTCAAAGACATGAGAGAACTCAGTAGATGATGCCTGTAGGAGTTGCTATGAGTGTATATATATAAAAAAAAGAAACATTACTGTAAGGAGGTCTCTTAAAGGCATAAATCGTATACCCGTCAATGATTTGTATTCCATCAGATAGAGTGTATAGCCTATCAACAAGTGCCCAGAACCTAGTTCTGGTAAGGAGAAACAACCAAGTTATACAAGAAAAATAAAAAACACTGGACAAGTGTGCCTGAAGTGCTCTGCTCCATATCTGAGTCAGAACCGTCAGTTGAGCGGGTGCCTCAGGATGTTTTCCCCCGTGATGTAGCGGTGCCATTTTGTCTGCTGGATGAGGGCGACATGGGATAGATGTCTGTCAGTCTTCTGGGGCCTTTCTGTTTACTTTTGCCCCTGGACATAATGCCGATCAATGTCCGCACCCTGCCGGGTGTGAAGAGGGATCGATCCGATACCTGTATCAGCTGTGAGTAGCTTTGATTCAGGATACCGAAGCGCTGCTCCGGTTTAAGCGACCATGTTTGTTCGTTGCCTAGCAACCCCTCCGACAGGTGAATGATTCTTAGCACCAGGGATGGGACTTAAAGTGACACTAAACTCAGGAGTTACATCTTAAAAATGCATTCACGTAATCTAACGATTAACATAAATGTAGCCTATTTGTGTATCACTCAGCTGTAGATCCTCAAATCATCTCTGTATTGGTTCTGACACTGTGCTTCCTTCTGGAAGGTGGCTACTATTGTTCCCCATGGTCCCTGTGTGTGTTATAAAGTAGCCACCACACCAAACATGCACCCATGATGCACTACAATCACCATTCAAATTAGTAAACTAAACATGAGATTGTCGTCCATCACAGGAGTGAGCTCTGAGCGGTGGCTACTTTACAACACACACAGGGACTATGTGGAACAAAAGTAGCCACCCTCCAGAAGAAAGGACAGTGTCAGCACCAATTCAGAGATGCTTTGAGGATCTACAGCCAAGTGATATACAAATAAGGTAAAGTATTGCTAATAGTTAGGGTACTTGAATGCATTTTTTACAAATTCACTCCTGAGTCTAATGTCACTGTCATCTCAAGTTGGAGTAAATCTAAGGCTTTACATGCAGCTGAAGTCTGTGGTCCAAGGAACTCAACATTGACACAGGAATCTACTTGAAGACTAACTTGTAGGCACCATCTTAAGAATTCTAATAGATGTGCAGATAGTAACAATAAACAGATGGGGGACTGATTGTCAAGCACCCAGCAGATGAATAGCCAACAGGCAGCTGACAAGCAGGTGAGAAGCCTAGTTTGGATAAAATGTAAGCAGAGAAATTGAGACTGGTACTTTAAAGAGTCAGATGCAGTGAATGGATTTCACAACTTCAGATTTGTAGATTAATTTAAGAAATATCAATTATTTGTGTAATTTACTACGAAAACAAGGAGGATTATATTGCAGTGCATGAGGAAATCTCATTCACCCACAGTTTTAATGTTAATTATATAATGTATAGTGCTGTAAGAGCATTTCAGTATTATGACCTAACTTTGACCTTTGCTGTTACAGTACGTAGGTCAAAGGCAGCTGATGAAGAACGCAAGCATAAAGCCCGCAGAGCACGAGTTGAATATCATCGACAATCTCTTCGGGCAATCCAGAAAGGAAAGGTAGCTGGGCTAAGCAATCTTTTTCAGAATACTACTCTAAACAATGGGCAGGAACCTACCCAAGAAAACTGTATACCCTCATTTAAACTTCAAATACCAGCCGAGTAAGTGATGCATAATGATTTTAAGATGTTTACTTTTGTTTAAGTATAATCACATTTTTTACCAGCTGCATTACAGTTTCTAAAAACTCAGCTAAACAACTAAACACATAGAAGAAAAATATATCATTTTATATAACGTTTTCCAAAAAATGTCAGGGCTTGTTCACACCAAATGCAGACCAGATCCGCATGAGTTTCTGCACACGCAGTGCAATGGGTTGTGCCACGTTTTTGCCATGTTTTTTGGCGCGTTTTTAATGCGTGTTGGGCGGTTTTTTTTTAGTTTAAAATGGGCTTTCAATGCGTTTGCATGCTTTCAAGAGCGTCCCAGAGCAGGTAAAATAGGGCTTGCTGCAGTTTTTTTTAACATGTTCTGGAACTGAACGCTGCGCTGTTAACTAGAGCCCAAAATACCACTGGAATACATTGGACGCAGTTTTGATCTGGTCTGTAACTGCTCTGTTTCCTGGAATGCGCTTGGTGTGAACAAGGCCTAAAAAGCGGAAGTCCAGGCAGATAAAAAAAAAAGAAACTCCTTTAGAACTCCTCAGAGCTGCCTTGCTGTTAGACCACTCCTTCCAGCCTCTCTCCCCCTCTGCTGCAGCGGTCTAAGGTCTGCGAGTCATCACATCCAATACACTGTATATTGAATGTGAGGACACAGAGGGACATTCCTTCACTATAGCAGAGGAGGAGACAGGCTGGAGGGAAGACTGTCACAGCCAACCGGCTCCGAGGATCGGGTGTGTATAACTTTGTTTATTTTCCTCTCTAGACCAAAACGAGCAATTAACCCTTGTAGTATGTTTGCCTGGAGTTCAGCTTTAATTATGTTCCTGTGATCCAGCAATGTTTTTAGTGGCTGCAGCTCTGCAGACCCCATTGCAGAGACCAACATTGTATCTGTTCTTATATCACCAATAAATATCACCATTATGCTGAAGCCCAGAAATAAGCTTTCTTTTTAATTTATGTAGTTGTCTTTCAGTATATATTTCAGTGATTTTATTGCACAAAATAAATGAAAGATCTGTCTGTCATGAGACAGAACGTTTTTTTTTAAACAAGGTTTAACTCCAGTCATACCCACTCTTTTCTAGTTTTGTTATGGTGGCAATTGTATCTAAGAGAGAAAGTGAGGAAAAATCGAAAATTATACAGGAGTAGAAGAGATATCTTCCAATATTGACAATTCTGGGAACAAAGGTTGATTGTTTCCTTTGGTGAGATTTCCTCTCACTTCCTGTCATGTCTCTGGCAGAGAAAGTAGGGGTAAATATTAGGGGCCTATATAAAAAAATTAATATGGCTATTTGTGAAGGACTCAACCATCACTGGGGTTGTTGGAGGAGCCTGGGGGCTTTTTTCATCCATAATACTAGGTGAGGCTATGCCTCACCTGCCTCCCCTGACCGCACGTCCCTGCTAGGGACAGGCAGTTGAACGGCTTTTATATAGCTGAGCTGGAACTAATTTCGGGACACTTTTATAACCTTCCAGGTTCCCCGAGAAATATGTAAATTTTATCCGGGATTATAACATTTCCCTTGGCCGAGTCATGTAGGAGATCCCACAGCACGGGTTCTTGCCTGGAGACATGATTCTTTACTAGCAGGTCTCCACCCCTCATGTAGCCGGGCATGTGGAACTATTTTCAGACGCTTTTTCTTACATGCCCCAGCTGAATAATTCTGGACATTATTTCACGCACTTAGATCCCGGAAGAGGAGTGGAATTCAATTAACAGACTTTGTTGATAAGAATTGCCTGAGTGCCTTCTACTTGATTAGATTATGTGTTCAGTTTACCTTATACCAGTTTTAACTTGATTTATTTATGTCTGTACATGCTGGACAGAATGATGCTGTTGGGAAGGGGGCGGGAATGTCCAGAGAAAGGTATAAAGTGTGTGTTCTTAGTTCTAATAAAAAGAGTTCCTGTTTTTACTTCAATCTTGGTGTTGCCTGATGTTTGGTAAATCTTTATTATTTTGGTTAGTTTTAGTTTTCTGTCCTAATATATTGGTACCATCCAATAATTAGGCAGGTTTTGGCTGAGAATGCTGGAATTCGGGTTCCAGCGGAGAGGGAGCTATTTACTGACAGAGGCACCCAGCCGGGGTGCCGCAAGGTCCATTACACTATTCATCCAGTGAAACCGCATATACATTTGTTCTGTGTGACTGTGAATTAACCAGCAGTTGTGAGAATGAGGTCAAATCAAATGTTCTTAGGCTATTTTCTATTCAGGTTGAATGTTCTTCAAATCAATGGGCTTTATTCTATTTTAGAATTAAATATGTTGTGTGAAATCCACATTTTTAGACTTGCAAGTACTCAGATATATGATAAGCAAAAATGTATCTGTGTTCTCCTTTAAGAAAAGTATGGGAGCGACCAGCTCGACCAATATCAAGGGAAGTCATCATCCGCTGGTTTAAAGAAGAGCAGATCCCACTGCGAGCTGGCATGGAAAAGGACAGTGAACAGATTGCAGCATGGTTCCACGGTAAAGTTCTGTAATGTAATTTAATGATTATGCATTTATATTCAGAAATATTCAGTGATCAGTCACAGGCTGTGGTGGGTCCAGGAAGACCTGGGCTCTGAGTTAGTGGGTTAAATAATATTGGCCATCAGACTGAGGGTATGTAGTGGGAAAATCTTTGGATAAGTACAACATTCCAGCAAAATCTGTTTTTGTTATGTAATCTTTTAATAAGCTATTTATCGTTATCTGGTTTTTTACAGCTGGAGTTCTGCTTCAAATTTTGTTAACTCGATTTGCAATATGTCTGCATAAATATGACCTAAAAGGTGATCTGTTTTTTTAGTCCTAAAGCTAGATAAAGAGAACCTGATTAAACAAAGGTGGCTCAAAAAATATTCTTGTACATTTATTAAGAAAAGAAAATAATCCAATGTTGAAGGGTATGTAAACCTTTACGCCCCATTCAAACCTGAACACTTTGTAGCTCGAATGCCTAAGCACTACAATGCTCAATAGAAGGAACCCCATTGTATTCAATGACCACTGTTCACACCTGGGCATTCTGTCAATGGTAGCAAAACACGTTTAGCTGGAAAAAGTATGTGAGCTTCTTTTGGGACACAGTCAAGCATTTTGGCTCTAATAGTCTTCAAGAAAAATACCTGTAAAAAAACATGAAAAAAATACTCAAAATGCACATAACCAGTGTTTTAATTTATTTGCATAATAACAAACTTTTCATTGGCTAATAATTAAGAAAACGCTCAAGTCTAAAATGTGTGCAAAAACTTTAAAGTGACAGTTCACAATAAAAAAACAGCATGGGGTTTCACCTAGAACTCTATCCAGGCCCTTATCCTATCATGAAGCCTGGGTGGCAGAAAAGGGAGTGCAGCCAGCATGCACACCACCCTTCTTGTACCACACCAGGCCACATGCCTTTAAACGGGGTACCTTACAGGGGGGAAGGGTTGACAAAGTCTTCCGTTCTTTCAAGGTGCCTTGTCCTAATGCGGACTGACAAGGGCCTCTTTTCTACATCCAATGCCCCAAGAAGAATGTGAGGTTATTGGGACGCACTTATTGCAGAATTTGGAGGTCCGCTTTATAATAAAGGCATCCACAGATATCTACATTAATACCCTTTACCCATTTCCACAAAGAGTGAAATGTAAATATATACACACACACACACTTTAGGAAAGTAATTTAATTGCATTACAAGAAAAAATACAATAGAAATAAATATGTAACTTATGGCCCTCAATGTAAATCCATGACAATCACAATGTCCAGTAATGTAATCCATGTCATTTATGGCATCCAGTGATGTAAATCCATTTTCAATCACAACCATCGGTAGACGTGTACACATCGCAATACAATCACCAAATGACAGACCCCTGGTGCTGCATTAACAATGCTATATTTGGTCTCCCTCCCTCTTTGTGTTTGCATTACAAAAGCCAGGAAATCAGGTGTGCAAAGGCCCCAACAGTTTGGCAGCACCACAAGTGGAATAGGTTTGCCGTAAACCCAGGTCCTACTCGAACCCAAATGTCATCCCTAGTTCCTACTATCCAAGCCAGATCTTAACAATATTAGGTTTGTAGAAGTACGTCATGGGTGAATTAAGTAGATTCCTGAGCACCTCCAATACAGTTTATGATGCTTATCAGGCAGGAAAGAGAGAAAAAAAAAAAGTCTAAAGATTGTGTACTCCACTAGCCCCTTATCAGGAAAATCATGTATAAATGGATATTAACCAAATGGCAAATGCATGCATCAATTCATAACTAGCTTTTAACGTAAAGTGCATATGAAAGGGCTTTATTACTATTAACATTTTTACCCTCCCTACGAGTGGTCGGACAACACAGATCACACCTAAAGATAAGTATTACACCAGGAGACTTCAAAGAACTCCACAGTTAACATCCTAGGAATGAAAGACCACTTGTGCTTGGGGGAATGTCAGTGTTCATGACATGCTGGGCAGGGCTAGATAGAGAAAGCCACTGCTATCCCAAAAAAACATTGCTGCCCAGGTAAGATTTACTAAAGACCATGTGAAAAGCTATTGCAAAAACGTTCAGGCTAGGTTCACACTTGGGCGACTCCTGACCGCGCACCAAGTCACTGAGTCAGGCAATCGCGGTCTGGGTGCCATTATTTTCTAATGGCACCCCAGTCACACCTAGTGGATTGCACAGTTTCCCGACGTGATTCTGCCCGTGCAAGTGAAAACAATTGCGGCTAAAAAAAGTTGTGTGTTGTGTCCCCCCATTATAATACATTTATTATTACCCAATTTTTTGGTAAAATATAAAAAAATAGGGTCACTTTGGGTAAATCGACACCAAACATGTCAAGCCTTAAATTTGCGAGGACCCGCAAAAATCACAAAAAACTACCGTACGCAAAATTGACTATAGATGATGCTTTAACCTCCCTGGTGGTATTCCAGAGTCTGGCTCGGGGTTAATTTTCAGTACCAAGAGTGGTAACCCCGAGCCAGACTCGGGATTGCACAGAAAAGTGTCACTTACCTTATCCCTGCGAGCCCGCGGTGTCCTCTGCTGTACGCGGCCGGCATCTAAGTTATAGTTTCGTTTTCGGGCGGAGCCGGCGGGAAATTCAAAAGTGAAAACATGACATTTACACAGAATACACACAATACAATGTAATCTGCTATGATTACACTTATGTATCAAACTATTTCACTTCAATTTTGTCCCTAGAGCTTTGTCCAGTGCCCTGCCTGCACGTTTACTGTTCTTTCTGCCTGGAAACTTGTGAACGTCCATGGCATCCAAAAAGCGTCCCTTTAGGTCAAAAGCGGTGTTAAACCATGTAGAAAACAGCGATAGTAAATTAGAATCACTTGCAGAATTGAGCGATAGCGATTCATAATCAGACACTGAAAGTCACTTTTGGTGTCTGATGACGAATTTCCCAACGAATAGCTATCGTTCAATTCTACAAGTGATTCTAATTTACTATCGCTGTTTTCTACCTGGTCTAAAACTGCTTTTGACCTAAAACAGCGATGATTCTGTGACCGAGCTCAGTGATGTGCGAACTTGGTACTCTATTGACTGTGGTACGGATCAGGCAGCGCCCCCAGAATTCCCATTTACTGGACCATTTTTTAAATGATTATATTATGATTTCTTATAATTATTTATTATATTATAATTTATGATTT